ACTGACATGGTTAGAAAATCCCTAGGTGCTGATGAGACCTAGACGGGGTCGAAACTGCACTCCAGTCCAGCAGGGATTATAATATCTTTTGGGAAACAAGGCAATGTGAAATTCAATGGAAACATAGGATCTACTTATACCACTGTAGGCAACTTCAATTACTACTTACCTTATCACCTTATACAAAATAGGGTTGATATATCTCATACATATATTGATTATATGTACATATATTGATACCGACCATCGTTCAACTCGAATTGAACCTTCTTGACCTTGTGACCAGTCACCAGAAAAGCTATACTCACCCCTTCTCACTCACAATCTGTCCTTTTTGTATAAGTTGTCTGCTTATTGCTTATAGAAGGTTAACTATTGTCGGAGCCCGGTACCTAAGCATAATATACATCTGTAAGCCATAGCAATACTTGCCTTATTGTAACTGGTAGAAGGCCTAAGCAACTACGGAGTACCTCATAGTTGTTAGGGGAACTTCGTTTCGAATGAAAGTGCATGAAGAAGAGATTCGTTGGTCGATCTCACCAGATCAGTTGCCTAGACGTTCTATCAGTGCCTAGATCTTCAATAGGCCTTACATTCTTTCTCAAGCTTTTGGAAGGGCACATGGTATTCCAATCTCATAATTATTAGTAAACTAAAAAAAATCGATATATACCTTGCCTGCTTGATCATCTTCGGCGTTTTCAGACTTCTCTCTGAATTGGCACACCTTGACTTTTATTTTGTTTCCTGTTAGTATGGAGCTTTTGTTGCGCCAGACAATTTGGTAGTCCAGAGATAAGATACTCTCATGTGTTGACTTTGGTGTGTCTATCTCATTGAGGTCAGTGACGGTGCTGTATCGCAACCTGGCCTTGTTGCCCCAGAGAGCAAGATAAGCCTTCAGCTTGACTGCATCATGGACGGACAGTGAGATCGGCTCACCTGGCAAGTAGCACTGTCGGTCCGGGTTAAGGTAAACGGGAACTTCAAAAATAACGTAAAAATTAAATGTCCGCTGAAGCAACAGTATCACTTGGTTTTCCCTATCCAAAGCCTCACAAACACATTGGAAGGTGACTAGGCGGTTTTGGGGTGGCTCTTTTAGTTGGAATGTGTTTTCATTTATTGTTAACTCTGACGTGGAGTAATTAGAGTTTAATTTCCCTGGAGATACCCAGAACACGCGGGTTGCACCTGCCTGTGCATAAAGTTGGTAGTCCCCCTGGGCGTCCAGAGAACCCCGGTGACCACAAAGACACGCCACCAGCTCGCCGAGTTGCAGATCCACACGATCCGGCTGTATAAATATCCAGTTGGGCCGAGGCAGAAATGTGAGTAGGAAGCTGACTTCGTGCTGCTTATTATCGTGGAACCAGTACACTGCGCAGGTGGCATTGAACATGCCAGGAAAGCCCACTTCGTCTGCGAAGAAGAGAGGCCGAGCGAAGTGGATAGTTGAAGAATTTGCGTCGACTCTTTTCAAGTCATCCAAATGGTCCTCGTCCGTGTGTGTGACGGGCTTAACCTCCTTCACCTTTTCCAATCGACTTAAACTCCAGCTCAGCTTCGAGCGTAATCGGCTGATCGACATCAAATTGCAGGTGACCTGCTCGTCGTAGCGGAACTCCCACTGCTTTTCAGGCGAGATGAATAGTTTTAAAGCTTGGAAGTTGTACACAGCTGAGTGCTGGTAAACGGGTATATATTTTACTGTAAGCATCGTGATGGTGCATCGGACCGTGTAATGTCCAACAGACTCACTAGATATGACAACTGAGTTGTTTTGTGAGTTAAACGTTGAATTATATGAGTTGTTAACTTCGAGCAGATACGTCCTGATCATATCAGAGTCAGGACAATTGATAAGTTCACACACAACCTCTGTCGGCAGCAAACGATATGCTTCCGCCTCCGTGAAGTTCGCTAAGCAGGGAAACTTGTTCAAATCTGTCCGAATTATTTCTACATTCGGATGGTGGAATCTCGGGACCAGCAAGGGGTAGTCAAAGATGAAAGGTATTCCTTTCCAGTCTCCATTGTACTGGAATCCGGTATCCAAGTAGATTTGTGTTTTTACCGACATTTGAATATACTTTGTGGGAGCCGAGGAATCATTTAGAATATGATCTATGTCGCAGTATAATTTGTGCATTCCTGGCATGGATTCAGGGCCCTCTTCCCAGATCAAGTTGGATTGGTTATTACAAGTAAAATGATATGGCCAAGATGCTTTAATTATACATATACGCTCTTCGTTAAACCGCTCCTTGGGGAAATGTGAAGAGAATGGTTTACAGGTAATAAGAAAAGATTCATCATTCTGTCTGAAAGAATAGACCTCAACCTCCAGAGTCATAGGAGGCCGGTAGATATGAAATTCAGCAGTAACTGGTGTCTTATTTGTATCATTATTAAAGCATAAGTAACTGTAGAGTCCTGGGATAAATTCAATTGAATCCACTTTCGGAATGTACACCTGCGAATAATTGCCAGTGGTATTGGTAGTGATTGTCAAAAAAGAGGGACCCGACCCCCTGATCCATTTGCACAAGCCCTGCGATTCCGGCAAATGAACAATCTGTGATGAGATGAATGTACCCAGATATTCCGCCATACAGCTCTGGCAGGGCAAAACGACTAGCAAAATGGTCAGGTCCCACATGGCATAGCCTCACTCCACGCCAGGATGGTTTTGAAGCCCTCGAATCATTGCGATTTTGTAGAGTTTTCACCTTAGCTATTGACCCGCAGAATTTTAAAGAGATTGGTGTTTGAGGCAATTTTGTGCTTGTTCCTTATGCAAATCTTAAGTTCTGTTACTGAGCCAAGGAAACCAATCTGGCAATCTGGTGTTGCCCTAAGGATAGTTTTGGTGCGATAACAGCAAGCATCAGAAATGTGCCTCCATCTCACCCCGTTCGCCTCGACGATAAATGCTGAACTCTTTTTGACGAATTGGTAGAACGGCTGGAACTATTCAATCCATCTTAATGCTGCTTCGCCATTAGGAGTAGCCAGGATTTCGGACTCGACTAGGTTTAATCAGCCTAAAGGAAGTATGCAACAAAGGACAAAATCCTCTTCGTGCAATCACACTACCCAGAAAGCATAATTTTCATTTATTAACCTGTAAGGGTGCATTTCGGGGCATTATTTGAGCTTAATTACAGAGCGTTTATTTCTATATAAATTTATTATTTTTTAAATAGTGATCAATAAGGGAAATTGCAAATGAAAGTAAATAAGTGCATAGGGTATTCGAAGCTGAAATAACGGATACAACGAATGTAAATGTTTATATATGTAAATGTGTGCTTCCACAGTTTGATAGCACCATCTTCCAAGGTTGCAAATAGTTAGGTCAACTGAAGATACTTGAAGTCTTTTAAATTATCCTCATCTATCATATGAGAGGACTAGAAATGACGAGCCTCAGAGATCAACTGCTTTGACTTTTGGGCTGCGGACGTCCTTCAGCTGCATTGCACGTAGCTATGAAGACTCCAAAACGTAAATTGGCGAGTAATGTTGGATTGGACGAACTCAAGCAGGCCACTATTAGTAGGAGGGGATTAAATGTGTTGAGTAAGCACGCGCCAAGTTCATTTTCTCTATTAGCCGATGAATAGTGACAAACCGTCAAACTTAAGTAGGCTCCGTTCCTTCGGAGGTCGACTCTTTCCAAGGTGTCGAGGTTGGTTTCATCTGTCTCACGTCCACATGAGCTTAAATAGGATAAATGTACCCCGAATTTGTGTGCCTTACATTTTTAGCTATAAGAAAAGCCGGAAGAGAGCTATGTGAAGTTTTGTGATAGCACTTTCGGTCTAAATATAAGGAATTGATATTTCACTGTTCAGCTCTACCTACACAATTAAAGAGATCTAGCTCATATTTATATTAATAGTCGTATGAAGAATTAAATGGTCGTTTGCAAACTAATCTCATCTTCTAGTACAGCGGCCTAAACTAACGCAACAGACGGAGGCGTTATCCCGTAATTCATATACTAGACAGCCGCAAGTAGCAACATTAATAATATTTTGAATATTCAAACACAATTAAGATGAAACGTTTTGTGCTACACTTAGCTGCCAAGCATTTACCCTGGATAAATTCGAGAAACCACTAACTTCCCCACATCCATAATAATAAAGCGTTAAAAAACCCACTTTAGAACGAATAAAGTCAATCTAAATGGTATTTTTTTACCATTATAATTTAAAAGCCTTTTGAGAGAAGAATATGTGTATAAAGCTAAGGCATAAACAGTCTACAGGTATGCAGTCCGGAACGCCGAGACCCCACATTAATTTCTGAAGCAATCTAAATAGTGATGAAATTTATCCAGCCTAAAACACTTATATACTATCATCTGCTTTCTTCCAAAGTTAATATTAAGTTTTTTCTTCCATTCAACCGTTTATCTCAGTAATTTAATCCGAATAGCCCTACCAGTAACCGGAATCAGTACCTTGTGCACAATGGCCACAACAACAACAACCAACCAATTAGGATATAGAAGATGTGTATTCCATCATTCTTCAACGGCAAGCTTGCCCAGTTCCTCGTCGAGATCAGAATCATTGAAGAGCTCTTCGTCTATTGCAATGGCATTACCTAAGGGAAAATAAAAGTATGGTAGATGGATAAAATTATCCTCCATATAAATACTTCACTTCTGTGTTTAAATAATATTTATAGTGTTGATAAGTGTAAACTCACTGTGGATCTCATCTCCTTTGGGTGCATTCTCCAGTTCTGAAAATTCGAAAATATTAAAGATAAATAATTAAATTATTGAGGAAAGAAGACACGCTTTTCTAAGTTAAAAGCGTGGATTATTTTCATGCGTTTTAAAAATACTGAAAAGATCTCAAAAAGTAAACTCACATCTCGGAAGGCTTAAATGAAATTTAGCTTCAACATAACGAGTAGACATATATATACATATTGGTATATAGACACGCATATACACATC